GTGTAATCCCTTTATTTCAACAAAGTAACTGTATTCTGAATACCACCTTTTTAAACGGTAACAGAATACAGTTACTCATATTTTGTATTTTAAATAGGTAACGGTGGTTCATGTACTCTGTTACTTTCCAACACTGACTGTGGGACGCAATGAAATTGAAATTGAGGGTGTGTCAACAAAAAGGTGTGTAATAAATAATATTTGAAATGCATTTGATTTATGTTTAAAGAATGGCAAACAATCACATGATTTATGACTTTGTTGTACATATTTGGCACATTTGAGAAAAAAATCCCTGTAAGTGAAATATGTGGACACGAAATGCTGCACACACAGACAGGTAGACGCGCATGCGCCGTGTTACGCCGCACTGGCCACAGTTATTGCTTATTAAATACATTCCTGTGACGTCATCACAGCGCGTCACCAGCAGCTGACCCGGCAGCATGTGGCGGACCGGGGCGACCTTGGTGTTCGGAGCGGGACTCGGAGCGGCGGCGAGCCGTCTGTTGAGCGCCGGAGGCTGGCGTGAGGAGGGGGGAGCCGGCCTGATGAGCCGGGTCCCGGTCATCCCGGTACCGGGAGTCCCGACGGTGCAGGCATCAGAGCTGCAGGTGAGTGTGCGTGAGGTCATAGACTTCCGGCCATTTGCTTGTGTGTGCTCCAAAAGTGTCTTCTATCTAGCTTTCCTAACATCGTCTCCTTGACCCGATGAGGAAGTTAGGAGACGCTTAACGTCTCTGCTTAACGACGTGACGCCGGATCTCCGAAGTGTTAAAAACTACAACTTGCAGGAGACGGACTACAAAGCGCGCATCTCACTCTAGCTGTTTGTGAGACCCACAGCAGACCGGTTCTCCTGCAGCCTCCTCTCACTGATCTGCTGTTTTCACAGAAACCTGCGCTCCCGCTGGAGCCGCTGCTTCTCCCTGACCCTGCTGCTGTATGTCGGTCACTGCCGGTGCCGGTTCTACCTGTATTGCGCCCCGGGCGAACACTCCCTCTGGTATCTGTTTTGGACAATGCTATCCTCTATGCTGTTGTATGCAGAGGCAGCAGGTTGAACGAACCACTGAACCACAAGGCCAGCGCGCACCTCGCAAACGGAGGCGCCCTTACTCCCAGCAAATGGGCGATAGAAAACCGACCGGTGCCTGTGACATTCCCAATATGCGCGGGCTGATGTCGGGGCAGCATGAGTACGAGCAACTTTATTTTTTCTTTTTTGCCGATGCCCGTGATGCCGCCGCGGGCAACTGCTGACAGCACATCCTCCTGTGACTGTCATGTCACAATCATTTGGCTCACTGGGTAAATGAAGTCCATGGTATGTTCTTCTATCTGGCTGCTGTGGAGCTCGTTTCCTCCATCATCACTGATCCAGCTGACCTGAAGCAAACATGAAGCTGCAACATAACAAAGGACGTCACTAATGATCACTGGGCTCATGCATGCTTCATGCAGCAGCAACTCAACAGGAAGTCGTTTTTATTCACTCAGGCTGTGACTTTAACAGCTGCTCATAAAACTGTGAATATATCAAAATGCAGTTAGAATCTGCTGCAGCAGCTCCTTCAGGTGTGTGCGTCTATAAAAACACTGAGGAAGAAGACGTTCATATACTCTGGATTATTGATCAATTAGTGGGAGGAGTCTCTGTTCCCGATTGGCTGATTGAGTGTGTCTCTGTGTCTAGGTGAGTCCAGGTAGCTCAGGAGCTGTGATGAAGTATGGCTTCCCCTCACTGGGCAACATCAAGACCAGAGAATCCTACGTCACCTCCTACGACCCCCGCACGCGCACTGCATCCTGGGTAATAGAGCGGCTAAACCCCGCCTCCCTGAGCGGACTGTCAGACAGGAAGTACTGCGAGTTCAAAGAGGATGACAGGTGCGACAGGAACAGGGCAGGTAAAGTTCATGTTCACATCAGTGTTCTCCCACCGGGCTGTGAAACACGGGGCTCGTGGGCCAGAGCCGGCCCTCGTGAGGTGCGAGCTGGACTCTTTCTGCAGCTCCTGCTGAGACGCTGTAACAATCCAGCTGTGCGAGCAGAGCTGCAGATAAACACGTGACCTCAACTGTGGTCCGTGCAGGTTAACGACAGGTGAAGGACGTTCTTCTCTACCTGTGAAGTTGTTTGAATCCTAACGTGTAACATCTGTTTTCATTCATTGGCAGCGTTCACGCTCTCCACCGAGCGACCAACGACGACTACAAGGGGAGCGGGTTCGACAGGGGCCACCTGGCCGCAGCAGCCAACCACAAGTGGAGCCAGAAAGCCATGGACGACACGTTCTACCTGAGCAACGTGGCTCCACAGGTGAGACTTTTTACCTGCTCATCCAGAGTATTGATTACCTGATTGATTCTATAGATCTCTGGTGTTTGTGAGCAGAACCCTCACCTGAACCAGAACACCTGGAACAACCTGGAGAAACTCTGCCGCTCCCTCACCAAACGCTACCTCAACGTCTACGTCTGCACTGGCCCGCTCTACCTGCCCAGGTAACCTGCTGCCCATCCTTCTGTGATGACTGAGGGGAGGGGCTTGGGAATGACATTGTCAGGTGTGTTTCAGGCAAGAGGCTGACGGGAAACTCTACGTTCGATATCAAGTGATAGGACGAAACCACGTCGCCGTGCCGACACACTTCTTTAAGGTGAGGCTCACCCGCCGGATGATGTCAGCACTCTTGCCCGTCAGCTGGCGATAAGCTCACCTGTCCCATGTGCCCTCAGGTGCTGATCCTGGAGCAAGCAGATGGCAAGGGGGTGGAGCTCCGTTCGTACGTGTTACCAAACGAACCTATCAGCGAGCAGGTTCCTCTGGAGCGTTTCCTGGTTCCCATAGAAACCATCGAGCGCACGTCGGGACTCCTGTTTGTGCCAAACATCATGAAGAGGACCGGCGGCGGCGTGCGGGCCATCGCTGACAGATGAGCTGCGTTACCCACAATCCTCTGCTTCAGACTTCCTGTGATCACAGATCAATAACGTTCGAACGTGTTTATGGACTTAATTATGTGAACTATCGGTGTGAGCATCACTTCTGATCGAACAAACACAACATACCAAAACAATTTTATTTCATGTTACAAAGCACCTTCAAAATAAAAGTCTTTTTTTTAACCCACTCCCCAGTGTTTCTATAAAGTCTGTCCACGGGGACGCCGCATGTTGATTGGCTGCAGGTCAGCTGTTGTCCAGCTCCACGTCGTCACTGAGCTCGGAGAAGATGTCGGAGAGCTGATAAAGTCTCTCCTTCTCCTCCTCTTCCTGCGCCTCCTTGGGCTCGCACTTCTTCAGTCTCTCCTCCAGGACAGGGACGGCTCTGCTCTGCAGGAAGTCGATGATCTCTGAGAGACAAACGATTACCGATTACTGCAGGCTCACCTGAACACGACACTGAAACCTGAATTACTCTGAACAACTGAACCTGAGAGCTTGCATGCTGCATTCAGGTGCTCAATGAAAACTGGGAAATCTGAGGGGTGTACTAATGCAAGGACCACACATCCAGGCTTTGTTTGAGCCCCAGTCTGAGTAACGCCCGGGGTGCTCATCGCCTGTCTGTCCGCTCAGTTTGAGCTGCTCTACAGCTCAGCTGCTCCTGACCAGGTGAGCAGTTTAGTTACCAGTGTGATCGAACAGGTAAGAA